ATTATGGCACACTGAGAAGAATAAGGCTGTTTCATGTTTTCCATTTCTGTTTCTTATTGCAAAACTAATTTTAAACATTAATATATTTTTATTTATAATTTGGTACAGTATATTTTGATATTATTTGTCCTCCCCAACCCTCCCCAGATCCTTCTACCTCCCCACCCATCAAACTTCATGTTCTTTCTCTCTATTAACAAGAAGCCCAACAAACAAAAAAAACACAAATTTTGAAAATCAATACAAGCAAATGAAAAAATCCCCAAAGACAACAAAACAAAATAAAAAACAAAATAAAAAGCATACAAAAACCCATGGACTCTGTTTTGTGTTGGCCAGCTACTACATGGGGCCTTCCCTTGGGGCTAGAACCACCCACAGTTGACTGGGCCCTCCCACATCAATCATTCATCAAGAGAATAGTACACAGGCTTGCCTATATTCAGATTTTATGGAGGGTTTTTTTTTTTTTTTTTCAGTTGAGGTTCCTTCCTCTCAAATGACTCTAGTTTCAATCAAGTGGAATGATAAATAATGAGTTAAGTAATTTTCTAGAAATGACCAACCTTATAGTTGGTAATATCTGGTGTAAATACCTTTGTTGCATTAATACAGAAGTGAAGGAAGTTAGAAAACACATTGGCAGTTTGCATCTAGCAGTTAATCAGAGAAGTGGAACTGGATTAGATCCATGAACCTCATGAGGCTTCTAATCTCACGGATAGAAGCAAATTATTATAATAGTTTAAAAGACATAGTTATGTATAGACAGTTTTTCACGACAATGTTTTGAGTTTTAGAATTATGTTTCTTTCTATCTATTGTGCCTTATGTCTTATCTATTGAAAATACTTGCTTTTTAAAGGCCAACAGTAAGAAAGAAAGTAAATTTCTCTTTCTAAAAATTAAAATTCCAGAGCAGAAATAATGCATCCACTTAATTCTTTTTAAAAAACATACCAAGAAACCTGGTGCTGGAGAGATGGCTCAGCAGGTGAGAGCTCATACAGCTCTTGCAGAGGACCAGGTCAGGAGGCCCTTGTGGGACACTGTATTATGGACTCTGTGGGCACCTATACTTACACATGCACAGACACACAATATACCTATAATTAAAAATAAAAATAAAACAAATCTTTAAAAATATTAGGAATTGTACCATTTTTTAATGTATTATGTAATACATAAAGTACAAAAAATTCACTTCATTAAAATTGAATTAAAATGAATTAAAAATGAATCACTAAACAGTCTGAAGTAGGAAACATCTTATATGCTTTTATCACTGATATCTGTAAGAGTGAAAAGGAATATAGTTGTGATCACAGCACAATCAATGAGATAAACAGAATTCAAGTCTGACTTTTGAAATTATCTATCTATCTATCTATCTATCTATCTATCTATCTATCTATCTATCTATCTTCTAGTTCTTTGAGACAGGGTTTCTCTGTGTAGCCCTGGCTGTCCTGGAACTCACTCTGTAGACTAGGCTGGGCTTGAACTCACAGAGATCCACCTGCTTCTGCCTCCCGAGTGCTGGGATTAAATACATGCACCACCACTTTCTGGTTTGAAATTATAACTTATTCCATGGACATGTGACTATGCCAATTTATTTTAAAATAGGAACTTTTAAAAGTGAACTCCTTTTAGAAAAAAAAGTTTTATTTTTCTAATTTTATTTAAAAAATTAGTAGTTAGGAATTTGTCTTTCTGGAAAAGAATAATTTTATTTTCAGTTGGCAGTGTTTCTAATGAAATGCCACACTCTCTCCTTTGAAAACATCTCTTAGTTACTTTGTTCCCTCAGGAGTGGATCCCGTGGCAGGCGAGAGTCCTCTCTGCTGTTCTGGGAGTCAGTTCCCTGCCTATCCAGAAGTTCACACAGCCTCTGCACTTTTCTCAACAGCCTCTCCTTCATACCCTCCTGTCTTCTCTCCCTCTCTGCCCTCGCGGCAGCTCCTTTTCAGCGTTGGTCTTTCTTTTGCCTGTCCTGGTGTCAGTTATTCATACCCTCTCAGCTTGATGGTTTTACTCTCTTTATCCATTAAGATAAAAGAAATCCTACACAATCCTTTTTCAAGATTTTTTCTAAAAACTTTTCCTACAGCTATTTGAAGAACATTTTTAGACACCTTTCAAAGTTTTAGTATAATTTAAAAGTGGGGAAAAAATCTCTCAGAATTTTAGTGGAACTACTTGTGATGTGGTATCTATGATGTGTCCCTGGCTACTGTCTCTCAGTGGCACCGGCAACTTTCAACAGAGTATTTTTTTTTTTTTAACTAATTAGAAGTATTTCACATGAAAATTAGGCCAGGCATGATAGCACAGTGCTGGTAGGCCCTCAGGATTGGTGGATCCTATGCATTAAAAGCCAGACTGGGGAACTGAAGGTATCCACATTATAAATGCCAAGAGCCTCGGCTTCTCTCATAGGTGTTGTTAGCAAATGTGGAATATAGCTCTCTGCTCATTGTATGCCAAGCCTTTGTGGGTGCCGGCTAGTGTCTGATGATACCACTTGGTTAGAGACACCCCCATGTTTGCACTGCAGTGGGTTGTACCTGCATTGCATGTCTCCCCCTCTTTGCCCACATTAGCAATCTGCTTTGTACTTTGACATCTAGGAATTCCCTAGTGAATTTTGTCACAGAGAAAAGAGAATTATCAATATCACAGTTAAACTTGACTTTCAAAGCTAATAGTATCTCATTTGGGGGCTCAAATTTAATAAATTTTCTTTGATTCTGGGTGAGTTTTTAAACATCAAACAATGAATTGGCCAGGGTGCTGTAAAATATTTAGATCTATTGACTATGGTTCAGAAGGGTAGAAGGCAAACACTAGTGGTTTGATGTTGATAAATTCTCAGTACCTTAATCCACATTAATGTTTTCTTTTATCTGAGTGATCACTGGTGACAAAAAGGAAGAAAGTGTATATACCAAAGAAATGTACAATCTGCCGCAGTTGTATTTGCAAAATATAGTTTATTTTGTCATGCTAAGTAAGTTCAGTAGCATTTTCATCCTGACAGAAGACTTAGAGATACACCACATGTTGTGAATTAGAACTCCAGGGAGCATGTAATATCCACATTTCTGTGAGACATACCCTGCCATTTTGGAGCATATTTCTGACATTCATTTATTTATAGAAAATCTTGGGACTAGCTTGGGAAACAAGGATTCTTATTTTTACCCATATATTAGCATGGACAATTGAAAATGTCTTTATTTATGGGTGTTTTCTGGTTTAAGGAAAAAAACCTATAGAATATGACAATCTGTGAGATGTTTATATTTCTCATCTAACTGATTTATATGGTAATAAATAATTCTAACAACTTTACAAGTTGCCCAAGTAGAATAGAAAAATAGAGAGTTTATTTTATTTCATTGATTGATTGATTGAATCAGGCTATCTCTGCACAGTCCAGGCTGACCTTCAGCTTGATATGTAGCCCAGGCTGGCCTGGAACTTGGAATTCTCTTGCCTCAGCCTCTGTGTTACTGAGATTACAGGCATGAACTACAATGTTACAGATGAGGTTGTTCAAATAAAGATACATAAATATATTCATTTTGGAAGTTAATCTTAATTTTTACACTTAACACCATTCTTGATGTGTACTTCTTCATAAAAACTATGTCATATGGCTGTTATGTGTGTGTGTGTGTGTGTGTGTGTGTGTATGTGTGTGTGTGTGACACACAAAGAGAGAGACAGAGACAGAGAGAGCTTTGTGTGCTTGTGTGTGCAAATGAGCACGTGTTTGCACATCGGCAGGGAAGCCAAGAGATTGACATCAGTGTTTTCCTCTATTGCTCCTCCTGTCCCCATTTTTGGGGATAGAATTTCTCACTGAGCCTGGAGCTTGTATTGTTTGAACTTGGTGGCCAGAGAACCCCAGTACTCCACCTGTCCCTACCTCCAGCATATGCCTGGTTTTAACATGGGTTCTGGGCATCTAAACTCAAATCCTTATGCTTGTGTGGTAAGCTCTTTAACCACCGAGCCATCTCCCCAAACCATATAATGTAGTTTTATAGTAATTGTTAAATTTATGATAGCAAATAAAAACGATTTAAAAACCTGCCCAAGCACATGAATAGCTAGAAAATATGTCTGTATTTTCTAGGTGACTGACTCAAAGTGAGAACTTTATCTTAAATGCAAAATAGACTGTAGAATTCATAAAGCTAAATACTGGAATTTCTTTGTATTTGTTACGTGTGGGCTGATTTGTCCAGAAGGTGGCAGTGTGATATCAACTGCCTTCAGTTATTTCCGAATTAGAACTCCATCTGGATGTGCTTGTGTTCTTACCTCTCCAAATACTTAAACTATAGTACAAATGCTACTGATTTTTATTTCAGTTATCTTACTTAGAGGTTTTGTGACCAAGCCGGTTTCTTTGTATTTACTGTTAAGACTTATGTTTAATTAAGTCCTACAATTTTATAAGTCTGAGACGGCTAAACAAACCCCTTACTTGTATATTTTTAAGTATCCTTTTGTGTTGAGTATATTTGTTCTTATTCCAGAGTATGTATAGTGAAGTTTTCCTTTTAAAATCCAGTACCTAGTAACTATTGTGTACAACACACGTGATCTAATATCAGTTAAACACGATTTTAAGAAAGTGATAATAGGGTTGCTGCTTGCTTTTGATTTTGTTACACCCCCCTCCCTTTTCTTTTCCGAGTGGAATGGTGAAAGAATAATTCAAAGCTTCTTGATCAGAAGGCTCCTGCGCCTCTTCTCCCCTCTTCATTCCAAGCAGAAGGATGCTTTTTCTTCTTAACATTCTCCCCCAGCACTCTGAATTAGAGATTTATTTGCAACGAAAAATCAATTAGTCCTAAATTTATTCATGGATTTCAGGTCCAGCGATCAATGCAAGTCCACTCAGTGGGCTCAAGGGGACCCAGTTCATCCCAGTTAATGTGTCTGAAGGGGAATTACCATTGATGCTGTTTTTTTCCCTTTAGGTCAGAGATCAGATCTCGCTGTCACGGACTGCAGCAAGTAGGAATGACTTCACCCTGCAGCTACCCAAACTGCACCTGGAGACCTTTGCAATGGAGGGGCTCAAGGGTGGGCCAGAGGTTGTAGCATGCCAGGTTAGAGTCTAAATAACATTGTTTGCTACTGAAATGTATAGAAAAATAAATTGTACTAACTGGAAGAGAATGAAAGCCTCAAAGTATTGTGAATAATTTAAATGAGATGCAAATAAATGTTTTCTATCGTGTAGCATAAAAACATGTTTCTTTAAAACCAGAATAGCCTATTAAAACAATGCAGAAAAGCATTTCACAGAGAAAAGTTATGTGTTTATGTCAAAGTACAATATTAAAAGAACCACTTTCCTATCAGTGGAAGATGGTAAGATATTAGGCTGTTATCTTTTCAAGCTAATCTCTATTTGTTGTTTTTATTGTTTTAAAATAAGTTATTTCACACAAAAATTTTCAGGAGAGATATCTGAAAAATTTCCATGTTAATTCTAAAATACATCCACATTTTAATTTCAGAAAAACTTAGAGCATAACTGTATTTTGCATAAGGAGCCCTTTACCTCTTAATATTTAGTTTTATTGAGCATTGCACTACAGTGTGCAAACTGAGGCCATTTCATTTTAGAGCTCCAAATATCAATCCATGAAACCTTGGGTAGCTTTAAACTTAATTTGGGAACTTATTGTCAGAATCATTCATTTTCAAATGTTGTAGCTGTCCTGTTCTAGCATGATTGCATTTTTGTGATCATTTTCCTTAAAGTTCATATTACATTGTAAGTTGGAAAAGACAAAATTCAGCACTTAATTTATTTTTCCTTTACTGCCCAAAGCCTTCATTTGAAAATATTCATCAGTATTATGTAAATTATAAGAAGCTTGTTATTACAAAGGAGATCATCCTTACTTAACAATTCTCTAGATTGCAGATATATTTAAAAGCAAAATGTATTTTTTTAAAAACTCACTACTAACATTTAGAAGTTTAATTTTAATTTTGGACAAATGTTAGTTCATATTATCTATGTTAACTTTTGCATGCTCTACACTGTAATTTAACCTGTTCTTAGAGTCTAGGTCATTTTCTGCAAACAAAAATGTTCATTGTTTCTTTATCTAAGAATATAATTATATAACTAGGCATAAAACATTTTTACTTTATTTTATAGGCTTTGCCATTATTTAGGACAAGATTAAATGTGTGGTTTAAATTTTATTATCAATATTTAGAAATTTATTATAGACTGAAATACAATATGTTTTGAAATTTTTCTAGTAAGTGTAAAATAATCCTGTTTTTGACTATCTTGATTCACTCTTACAAGGCTTAATTCTTGTCAAAATTTACAAATAAAGATTTCCCCTGAACTGGATCTTATTGATTTAAAGGAAACATATCCTAGAAATGCTGTTTTGGGGGTAAAAACATTAATCCTCTATGGTTGTGATATATAGGAATAACAACAAAGAAATGCAAAGATTTATAGTTTAATTCTTCCAACAGTTGTACATGTTACCACACACCTAAATGCTCAGGTAAGTTTTCTGTTGATATCCATAGGACATATTGTAGTTTAGTAATATGTGGGTAGTTAGAAGACAATAAAATTGATGATGCTGATGCTGTTGATGGTGACGATGATGGCAGCTTCCGTGTCAGTGAACTTTTCATGTACCAGACCTTGTCAATCCATCCCGTTCTCTAATGTGACTGTCAGACAAGTGGCAGTATCTCCATTTTAAAATTGGAAAACAACAACCACAGCAGGTAATTCTCTTCAGATCGAAGTCTGGTAGATGGCAGAACAAATTTAAGTTTCAAAGTAGCTGACTGTGAGGCTGAAGTGCTCACTCTGAAGCTGAGGAGTTAAATGGTCTGTGTAAATGATAATAGTAAAACCTTAGAAACAGATTTTTATTCCATTTGGAAGGTATTAATTATATATCTGTGTAGGTCATAGTTTATGGTATAATGGAGAAAAATGTACAAATATACTTAACATTCAATAGCCAAAGAAAATGAAAATACACTTTTTAGCTTTTTACAGGAAAATGTGTGTGTTCATGATAACTACACATGTTTAGAATTCAATATTTTAAAACTTTTTAATTGGCACATAATAATTGTGTGTGTCGACGGAGTACAATATTTTCATGCATATATATGCAATATATAGCAGTAGGTAATGATCAAATAAAGGTAATTAGAGGCATGTCATCACCTCAGACATTGCTGTTTGTGTTGGGAACATTAGGAATCCTTGCTTCTAGTAATTTGGAAATACCTGACAAACTGCTATAAACTACACCCACCACACTGTGAGGCAGAGCTCTGGCTCCCATTCCTCTTAGCTTCTCAGGTTCAGCAGTCAGTGTTCTCTACCCACTGAAAACATCTCATTTCGCTTCCATATGTGAATGAGAACATGTAGCTTTGCTTCACTGTGCTCAGCTTGCTTTACTGAACATAATGACCTCCAAGTTCATCCATGTTACCAAAACATTAATCCTCCCTATTTATTATTGACAAGATACCACTTTTTATTGGTTAATAATATTCCAACATGTGTATGTGCTGCATTGTTGATCCATTCATATGTTATAAAACCCTAGGCTGATCCCGCATCTTTACTTTTGTGAACAGTGCTAGAAAAAAAATGAGGGATTTCTGTGAGTTCAAGGCCAGCCTGGTCTCCAGAGTGAGTGCCAGGATAGGCTCCAAAGCTACACAGAGAAACCCTGTCTCAATAACAAACAAACAAAAAAAAACAAAACAAAAAAACAAACAACAAACAAACAAACAAAAAGAGAATACAGGTATGTTTTGGATGTAGAAATGCTAGCTTTTGGTCCCAGTGTCTCTTTTACAAAAGTGGGTTGTACTGATTTTCCAGGCCTGTAATAGCAATGAATGAGGCCGTGAATGGAATGGCAGGAGGAAACAGGCAGGGCCTGGTGACTTCATCCCATCCCTCTGAAGCCCCGTGTGGGTGAGGGAACAACAGGGGCTCACTTCACTACTGTAAGCTGTTTATCTGTTCTGTTTAATAGTTTCTTCAAAAGCTTTAAGTATTTTATCAAGTACAGTCTACTTTAAACTTTCTGTTTACTTTTTATGCCAGGTGATTTTCCAGGGAGGTCATGCCCTCAGTGAAACCTCTTTTCTAAGTGCCTATGGCAAATTTAAAACTGTGTTTTTATATTTCAGTTAATAGCCTTTCAAGTTTTCACTGTAATGCCAAGAAAAATTAAACCAGGCAGACCAAAGCTTTAACTAAAATAGCCAGTGTGAACACAGAGGACTTTGTAATGAAAAACATTCTGTTCATACCATGTAAAGATAATACCTGATTTTTATCTTACCATCCCAAGTATGTTTTAAAAGTAATTTTGATCTGTAATGCTGCTAATACCTAGCAAATATTGACAAGTGGTCAATGAATATTTGTATTTATTACTAATTGATGATAAGAAACAGCTAGACAGTAAACACTCCAGTACCTCACATATGATGTGTTTGCTCTGTGCAAACCTATCAAGCCCTTTTCAGATCCTGTGAATGGCCAGTAATCTTGATTCTGTTCTGCTTTTACTACTCTCTGTCTTAGTGTGATGCCCAGGAGCAACTGGTTCTGATTTACAGAGGACTAAACTAAAGTTGACTGAGATGATGTAAGATATTAACAGACTAGACTTCTAATGAGTAGGGTAACCAAGCCATTCTGCTGTTAACCGTGCCCTTTACTTTCTGCCAATCATGGTTCATTGGCTCGTGTTTGTATTTTAAGATGACACAGAGAAAGAATGAAACTAGGGTTTTTCTATAAAATACAATTTCATCTGTGTAGAAATATGGACAAATAGAAATCCTAAAGAGGGCTAACTAAATATGTTTCGTGACTTGTCTATTTTAGTCTCTTCATCTCTAAAAAGAAGAGTAGCGGTTCCCAGCTCAGCACTGGTAGAATGATTAAATGGGCTCATCCACTCCATCTATTGGGTAGTAACAGATACATTGTAAATACTGAGTTTTTGTTAGAGCTCCACAAGCATGAAGGCTTTAAGAGGTGGGGAACTTAGCCTCCTTGTTGATGGCTTCAGCCTCAGAACTCCGAGCAGAGGAGGCTCACAGTACATATGGTTGAAAGGAATTTTTAGACGCTTGGCAGGGTCACCCAGGACTAGGCTTCTGTGACAGCTCCTCACACTCCTGAGGGACTTGGTGCTCATTTCTTACATCTAGCTGAGAGTCTTCCAATCTCTCAAAATAAAGTGTTTTAAGACTTGGTGCATAATAACTGTACCCTTGGAAATGTGGTGTATTTCATAAACATGTTTTTGAGTACTTCATTAGAGAGTCTTCATTTGAAACCACTTATTTATAAAGATTTTAGAACAATACAGCCTTCCCCATGAGTGCAGTAATCCTGTAATGTTGTAACAGGCCTTGTTCACCCTGGTTTTGTTCTACAGTCCACTCATGACTTACATAATTTTTACATCTATATTTGTTATTAGGTTTATCAATTTCTTTGAGCTATTTTTTTGTATTGCTGTTGATAAGTCATAAGGAACATTCTGAAGGAAATATTTTAACTTTTTCTTTGAAGAAGGGTGAAATAAATGGTAGGGGAACCTAAACTGTCTGAGAATAAAAACACCAGCAATCAAGTGTAGTAGACTTTTCTCAGCACTATTAGTGCTCCAGCCTTCTATTGCTCTGCAAGGAACTTCTACATTTTTGGCATTCTTAGAAATTAAGAGATGTTAGGCAATGTCATTTATAAGACTGTACCATCTTGATATTTTCCTCTTCCTGTCATCCCATCTGCATACATGAATTTTCAGAGAACTATTACCTTTTTAAACATGAAAATGAGCCACTTTGAGTGAAAAATCTTGTTAAAAAATAATAAGCACTACTTTTTAAAATAAAAAGAATATATTTGATTAAAAAATGTTATTACTCTGGTTCATTAGTTTTATAACATATTGTAATATTATGACAGTATCATATGCCTTGGTACATGGTGACATTTGTCTCAAATAATGTAACTTGCCAGAAAACTTACTAATATTAAAAATTGAATTTTTTAAAAATT